AACTTTTTCATCTGTTCTGCAGCATGATTGCAAACTACCCCACACTGGTTACCTTAGCTGACTTTTGAATTTCATGTTTGTTACTGTTTTTTGTTCTTTCTGAAAATATTTCTGTTATTACATTAAATATCATCTTGAAAGTAGAATTCCTAATGTATATAGAGGATATAAAAATATTTCTCAACAGAATTGGCCTCTCACTGGCAAAGAAAATTGCAATAAAAGACACATTATTGCGTACTCATATCAGAAGCTTGGATCTATGAACAGTCTTACTCCACCGTCCTCCAGCTTTTCCTTATACACCAAAATGGCTTACAAATGTCATCTACAATAGTCCAATAAAGATTAGGAACAAAACACGGTCCTTACTCAAATAAGATAAGAAAGATTTAACTGCAGAATGCAGTGTGTAAGAAAAGTACATAAGGCTTGTTCTCAAATCAGAAAACTAAAATTCAAATTATATTTGTGTGTGTCTAGAATTTAATTGAGATAATCAGTTTATTTTCCCCATAATGTCTGATGAGATGCCTCTACTACAGTGCTAGATAAAAAGAAAAGGAAGAAAATAAATTCTATCAAGGAAATCAAGAAGGCCCATTATCTACAGGGTGTGCAAAATATGTTCAGAAATAATTCTGCTGTGAGCACCAGGAATGCCCAGTTAATAAAAAGAGATCAGCCACTCGCTAAGAGAAAATAATTGTCTGTATCTATATTTTTCAAAGCAAAAAAGGCAGTCACATCTCATACTAAATAGGACACATTAAAATAAGCTTTAATAATCTTTATGCAGAAGGAAACTAATCCATTTTCAGATCATATGATCCACAGAAATAAAAGGAAATCATCAAACTAAAAACAATTTTAGAAATGGCTGCAGACTCTCATTTAATTAACATGCAACAGATCATATATTTATGAAGAAGTCAAAATATTTAGGAAGCCTATAATCCTGTAAGCCTTAATGTGGTATTAAAAACAACAAATAAATGCAAAGTGTTACTGTTACACATGCCTAGCTGATCAATGGTTTTCACATATTGATCTATAAATGGAGCTGACAGTCTGTGTTGGCTGCACGTTTTCCAAGCAGCGCTATTTTTGCACAAAACCAATACGGGCAATTACCTTTGTTTGAGATGCCAAGTCTTATCAATTCAATGTGATTTAGTGTCATTTTAATTAAATATCAGGATCCACTTCAGGACAATTTATACAAACAAAGCCTCAAACCTAACTATGAGCTTGATTTGAAGTAAACATGGACAAGCCCTACAATCTCATAATATTTCTTAAGAACTCTCCTAAACAGAAGGCTTATATTTTTAGTAGCAATTTGTATGTCTGCCTTGTTGGCTAGCCACAACTTTGGCAAGTATCCTAAATCACAGAAGTAAGAAACAAAAGGAAATTGTTTCCTCTTTTTCCTGATACTACATTAAAAAGAAAAATGAACCAACACAGTCTGTTAATGGAAGGAAAAGGAGGCTTGTATGTTAATGTTTAGGAATGGCTCGACCTAACACTATCCGAACACCAATAAAAAGATATTTTCCTGTTCATGATGGTCATGAATGAAGTAATGACCTTCTGTGGGTTTTCAAGATGGAAATGGTGAATATTCATACAAGTTGCTGCTTGAGGCACCAGCATTAAATGCTGAAATTGCCCCTGCTTGTAAATCCTATGTCTGCAGTTTGCTGATTTAGGCTATTTAAACTCTTCATTAATATCTATTCCAAACTGACTCGTAGGCTGGAGCATCCCTCTTATAAATACCATCAAAGCACGTTAAACCCTTTGCATTAGCCATTTGCAGGATTGCACATTAGCCTTTTTAGCCCTTAAAGGGGCACACTTCACTTGCCCCATTTACTCTCATTCAGCCCTGCTTTTCTGCTTAGCATATTCTGGTAAATAATCCATCCACCTTTAAAAGGCTGCAGTCAAGGTCTCAGGATGAGACAGCAAATCACTGAGACCCAAAAGCTGCCTTCCACACTACATGGATCTCCCTAGATCTCTCTCACAGAAGAGCAATTTTTTTTTTTGCAAATCATATCCCTGCACTGTTGCCATCTCCCCAACATTCCCCAGGTAGCAAAGCAAACTTACTGAACTTTTAAAAGGCATTGATTTTTTTAACCAAATAAAAATAATTATTTGGGGTTTAAAGACAATAATGCATAACACCAATAAATTACTGGAAAATTGACAACAGTTTTACTGGAACATTTCCGGCAACATTTATGTCACCAAAATTTTTAAATGAACAAGTAAATTCATCTGTGTTCCTAAATTTAGGGTTAAGCAAATACTTTGCCATTTCAAAATAATCTTTAATTTAAAATACTTAAGAGATTTTAATTAAAAATAATTAGAGAACCCTTAAAATACTTAAAGGCATACATAGGAGGATTTCATATTGTGTTCTAGGTGCACAGACAAAATAAAATAATATTTACAAATTAATGCCAACACTGTATAAGTGATGTGACCCTAGAACATTCAAAGTAATTTTTATAATAAATCAATACAGGCGCTTGTGTTATCATACAGTTCAGTAAGTTCATAAGAGACTTGGATTCTTACTATACTGGTGAACAGGTAACACAGTTGAGACATATTTATTAAAGAGGGTGCATAACATAAGTATGGTCTTTAAGTACACACATTTTTCTCTAAAAATTACATGGATGTGCCACTATTAAAGCAAGCAGCGCTTCATATGAACATGTGCTCACATTTTAGAGTACATCGCTTTCTACTTCTCCTAAATTCAAAAATCTCCCCCTTGACCTCACCCCGTGAGGTCCAACTTCTGAAAAATCAAGTTTTTAGTTTAGCTTAAGCAGATAACTTTAACAGGCTTGTTTGAATAAATATGCCAAAATACTTTACATTCTGTCAGTATCTAGTCAGAAAATTGTGCATGGAAAAAAGAGATGAAAAGAACTGAGAGAAAATTAGTGCCATGGCAAGCTTTCAATACAGGATCTCTGAGCCAAGTCTTCTCGGTGAAATGACATATCCTCACTAAAATACCCCTTTTATATAATTATGCACTGAGCACACATAACCAAAAGTAACTTTTATTTTTGTTCCTTATCATGGAATGCATATTGCCCAGGCTAAGAATGCGGAAACAAAAGCTGGGATAATTATAGCTAATTCAACTTTGGAAAACTCTTATTCTCTTGCAGTCCAGCATACAACCCCCCAAACTAAAGTTATGTAACAAGGTAATATCAACAATGAGAAACTGCATGATAAAATCCTGCCCAAAAGTGGAAAATGCTAATTTTGTCTCATTTAGCAGCTGGATACAGAAATGCTCATTAGTTTTAAGAGGGTTAATCCTTTTAACTTTTGCATATTGATATGCCAATTATGCCTAATTGTACAAGAGGCATCAGTCAAGGTAATAGTGCATAAACACATGAAAGTTATTAAGTACATCCCAACATGTAATAAAGTAGGTGTTAATTGGTAGCTGAGTTCTGCGGGCTATTGAGGTGGATAATTCATTGAGAGATGGATCACTTGTAATTTCTCTCCATAATTCCTTTTGCAGTCTCATGCTGTGATGTTTTCATGCTTGTCAAAAACAACTGCGGCATAGTGCCTTTTGTTAAACACAGCCAATAAAATATGTTAGGCATCATTAAATATACTTAACTTTTAAACTTTTTCAAAGGTACAGTTCTTACAGATAATGCATATAGTGATTCCAGTAATTTACTCTAACCGTTGTCTCAAGTTCATACTTGAGGAACATTTTAGTGGTTTTAAAAGGAAAGTGAACTAACAGTGTTGTGCCTCCCAGCAGACAATAGCTTTAAATGAGAAAGTAAATACAGGAAAATGCTTTTCTCATTAGTTACCTTATCTAAGGATGTTTTTCAGTCCACCAAAATAATCACTGGCTTCCTCATGCTAAATTTGTCTATAACACCTGAGGAAAGAACAATTAAATTCATATATTTCTCAAGCTCCTGAGATTGCTGTGGGTTAATGTTTTACTTGAAATTTGAGTGAAACATGAAGAATAAATGTAATCGGTAACATGATCCTCAGCAAGTTTATCTCACTTAATAACTCAGGGAGCTGAATATTTCATAGGCTCCTATGATATTAGCAGAACACTCAATTGTAGCTCACATGTTTCTGCAGGGTGACTGGGTCTCAGCCTGTCCCTAGCTAACCTGTTTTTTCCCTCTTGCTTTCACTGTGCGAAACAAAATAGATCTGGGGTCCAAAAGAATGGCTAACATTGCATAAATAATTTTGTAACATCCTATGGCCTCAGCTGCAAGTTACCACCATTATGGAGGAAAATTAACCAGAGGAGACTCATCGTAATCAGTGGGTTTAGTGGCTCAGGATGCGTGCAGGGCCAGGGACACAATTGGCAGTAGAGTTCATCTCTAACTATTTTATTTCAAATCTTCCTAATGACACATTATCGAGACAAAATGTCTTCCTCTCCAAATCTTAAATAGCCACACCATTTCAGTCATTTGAGCCCATTTCAAATCAAGTAGTAATTTCTACTACCGTATATTATTAGGAGATTTTAAGAAAGAGATTTTCACATTTTTTTAAAAGATGTAGTTTCTCACTTTATTCTTAGCTAATTTTAGCCTCTGGCTTTTCAAAGTGATGTACTGTATTTGGAAGTACAAACACCACATGCTAGCATAACCTCATTATTTTTATGACACTGAAGCATGAGAGTAGAGGCCCTTAAAATGAGTCAAAGGTGTTCTTCAGCCTAGCTCCAAATCCACTTTATCACTCTGGATTAGACCCAGCTCTTCTCGTGCAACTCGGGATATTATTACGACTATAAGTAGGCAAAATAAAATGCATTGCGAAAACAGTTTTCTACTGCACATTAGGAAAACAAATAAAACAAAACTAATTTGCTCTTTTAAAAAAAATGAAGTTCTGTATGCTAAGTGAACAAGAGATATCTGGCACATTTGACTTACAGGTTCAGTGACCTTCCCAACATCAGTGAGGATCATGGATTTAGTTTGGCTCAGCCTGTCGTGGTGGCTGTTGGTGTTTTTTATTCTCATTTGCACAGCTCCTGTGCCTTGGTGGGTAGGATTCTGTGTTTCCATAGAGGCATCAGAATTCGTAGATCTCTTCATATTACAGTGGTATCCTGATAAAATAAAAAAAATTATGTTAATCTAAATATATACTTTTCCCATGAAAAACTCTTGGTGGATGTATGTCCCTATTAATTGGTAGGATATTAAAATTAAATAAATTTGAAAAAAAGAGTTTCCACCTCTCTGAGTAGTGAAAAAAAAGATAGTTATTTTGTAAGTATCAGTTGGGACTTCTATGGATGAAGAGTAGTATGTAAGATAGATGTTTTCAGAAGGTTGTAGGAGGCACGTCATAATCTGTGTAATTCCTAATTCTATTAAGAAAGTAATAGCAATCTGATACAATCTTCCCTATATATAAATGATAGTACCAAGTAATCACTAGGATATACACTCTTTTGATTCACAACTTCACTTATCTGTTACCCATTCTACACTCATGAACATTACAACCTGTACTGTTGTTGTTGTTGCTGTTTTCACTGCTGGTCCTGAACATAAAATCCATATTAATCTGGTCAGATTTAAGGGAGAGTAGAAGTGGTGTCACATCACATTTGATGGGCCCCACCTCCAATATCCTTAGGGAGAACTTAAAATTCTTTCCTCTATTGACATCTGTGAACTAAACTAGGTTTGTTAGTTTAGGTAGGCATAATATTTACAAATAATATAAAAATAAAGAAAATCTATACCACTTATTTATATCTATCAATTTTCTCTATGTCTATTTCTCTCTATATACCTATATTTATATCTATGTATCTATATTAGAAGAAGGAATCTGATTTAGGCAAGAAAATTCAGCATGGGCATACTTTAAAGGAGCAACAGTAATAATTTGGATGGGAACAAAGATAACTAAACAGTGGTGGCATAAGAGGAAGAGCTTTAGGTGGTTCCTCACACATTCATGATCCTCTCCAATGGCATCTAAATTTTTCCAAATGGATAAATCATCTCATTAAAGCAACATCTGCAATGCAAACCCAGCTTCTGAATTGGCTGAAGCAGATCTTCTTTTTGCCTGACTGTTGCCTCCAACTCTTAACTATGTGGACTTTGCATACTGGGCACTGGGCATTCCTATACAACGCTGGAAAAAAAATAACTAGGCACTTACAAAAGCTAGTACAATTCAAAGGCATGATTGTACTTTTAGGAAACAACAATAAGGGTACAGTGGACCCTTGACTTACAAACTTAATTCATTCATGAGGGCTGGTTGTAACTCAAATTGGTCAATTGAAGGCACAGGCTCCTCTACACACCCTTCAAAGTCTCTCTCCTGTACACAGGCAGATCTCAGTGTTCTTAGAGAGACATTGGCCCAGGATTTCTCAATTAACCCCACACAGGAAAAGATGTTGTAATGTTCCTTGAAGAACTCTTTACAGGTTAAATCTGTAGCTGAGACCATCTGGAAGTACAAGTGACCAGCATTCATGTCATAACTCAAGTCTTTGATCATAAATTAAAACTAAAATTCCAGTCATAACCCAAATTGTTCATATGTCAGGCCAGTCGTAACTCTAGAGTCCACTGTATTCCTATATTTGTTAGATGGACAATAGGGCAATGGCCACACTGGGTGAATATTAAAATGAATAAACTATTCCTACTCCTATTTTAATAGGATGAAAAGTATTACCTTGCAATTAGTACCAGAAAACAATTGAATAACAGTTTAGACAGCAAGCCAACATTTATCTTTTACTATTTGATAAGCAATGTTCTTAATGGTTTAATTCTTACAAAACTTTTATGAAATAGGCTTTCAACCAATATTTTTATAAAGGACAAAATTGAGGATTGGACAGACTAATAATTTTCCCAACTACTCTGGCAGAAAGAGATATCTTATTCCAAAAAGACAACACATAGAAACAAATTCTAGTATATTTACACAATGAAAGCAATAAACAATAAACAGAAAGAGACTATTTTTTTTGGTACCAGAGATCGAACTCAGGTCCTTGCGCTTGCAAGGCAGGCAGTGGAACCACTGAGCTAAATCCCTGGCCCCAGAAAGAGACTATTGATATATACAAGGAGAACTGTTATCTAGTGAATAAAGCCATTGCAGAGGAAATGAAAAAAGAAGAATATCTCTATGATTTTTTTTATTTCTATACTCTCTTTTAAAAATGTAAACTAATATATGACCAAAAGCTGACCAGTGTTGCTTAGGGGGAGGATGCAGGCAAGAAAGAATTATGCTAAATACAAATAAACTTTTGGGCTTGATGATATGTTCATTATTTTCATTACAATGATTGTGTGATAGTTAAGCTTAATTGTGACAATTTCATTGCCTTACGCCTTTCTCTCTGGCTCTGTTCCCTGCTCTGCTTCCCTGCTGCCATGAACTAAACAGCTTCACTCTGTCATACCTTCTGCCATGATGTTCCTGCCTTGGAGCCCACTAACCATGAACCAAATCCTTCAAAAACATGAGCCAAATTAAATCTCTTCTTTAAGTTACATGTGTCAGATATTTGGTCCCAGGGAAAGGAAAGCTGACTAATACATGTGGTTTCAGAGGAATGCATATATATTAAAAGTGAACAATCTTACAATTTACTTGCACTTTATGGTATTTCAGCTATAATTCATATAGTTGTTTATGAAAAAGTTGTTTTAAGACTTTCTTAACTAATTCATCTTGCTCTTGTTCATTTTTTATGTGCCTATATGAGTGGTTATAAAAATTATTTAACTGAGCACAAAAGAGCTCTTTTAATAATTACAAAATAAAAATTTGAGATAGTAAAAAGTAAATTGTATTTTTTCTGAAAAATTATTTTTTAGAGACATTGGAATTCTGTTCTGACTGCATTCAATGCTTGATCTTGCATATTACTTAACAGATTCAAACTATCAGTGCAGGGTGTGTGTGTGTGTGTGTGTGTTATTAGGGGAACTTAGGCTGAAGCTTGATCTCTTCAGCTCAAGAGCACCAACCACTACATTTACATAGCCCAGGTATGTTCCATTTATAGGACACGTTGATTCCTGAGCATAAGCACAAATTTCAATGTCAAATAAAATTTGCATTCTATTGATTTTTATAATCAACCCATAATTTGCCTAGTGATGGGTTACTGTCAAAAGGCAGAATTACTCAGAAAGTCTCATATCTGGCTTTCCTTACCGTATTTCCTTGGGGACAGTCTGTAGAAAAGATTGTCGATCTTCTTTCTTTTTGGTCAGCCTGATCTTTCTCCCTACTACAGTGTTAATGTTACTTGCTTAATTTCCTCCCTATCTCTAGCCATTATTTCTTTTTCCATCTCCCCCCATCCTCACATTTTGTTGATACCCCACTGCATTCTGCTTGTTCTCTTTACACAGTTTCCCATGTATAGCAGTCTCTTCTTATCTTCAAGGGTATATTTCATGACCCCCAGAGGTCATCTGAAATTGTAGGTAGCACTGAATCCTATATACATTTTGCTTTTTCCTATACATACATACATACACACATACATACAGTAAAGATAATGTATTAATTGGGCACATTAAAATATTACAAGTATAATGGAGGGCCAGGGATTTAGCTCAGTGGTTTCGCCGCCTGCTGAGCAAGCACAAGGACCCAAGTTCAATCCCCAGTACCAAACAAACAAACAAACAAACAAGTATAATGGAAAAGTTTTGTGAATGTGGTTTTTCTCTCAAAATTTCTTACTGCCCTACACTCATCTTCTTGTGGTGATATAAGTTGATACAATGCCCATGTGATGAGATGAAGCAGCGAATGATACAGACTTTGTCACACAGCCATAAATTAACTCATAAGGCTTAGGAGAACACAGCCACCATGACTCTGCAATAGTAGATCTGAAAACTGAGATGCTGTAAGCCACTACTGGGCAGGTAGTGTATACTACAAGAATACACTGCACAAAGGGATGCTCTGAGCAGCAGAGAACAGACAGCATGTGATTTCATCATACTTTAAGAACAGTACAAATTTTTAAAAGTTAGGAATTTTTTATTTCTAGAATTTTTCATTTAATGTTTTCAGACCATAGTTGTCTGTGAATAACTGAAAACATAGAAAGAAAAACCATGGAAATAGGGGGATTACTGCATTTCATTATACAATGTCATTCATTGATAGTACTTCATAATTGTTCCTATATATTGAAGATTTCTAATTCTGCAGAGTGCTAGATTTGATGAGAATTCAAAAAAAAATTGACACTAACCTATTCTTAAAGATTCCTACCAGAAAAAACCGCAAAAATCAATCCCACCAAAAAACCCAACATTATTCCTTCCAGATTTACTGAGATTCTCTAAGTAGCAGACACCATTTTAGAAACTGAAGATAATATTCCTTTACCAATTGCATTAGAGTTTGTGTGAGTGATAGAAAAACAACTCAATAAGTTATGAGAATCATATTGTGTTCAGGTGAGGAGAGGTGCAGTGACATCAAACTTGGGGAAAAAGATATGAAAAGAGATAAGGTCTTCAAGAGAAGATCCCATTACACTGAGTTAGGTCAGGGCAGGTTGGGCATTTCAGGCAAAGGGCTTGGCAATGCAGAGATGTGCACATACCTGTGCTATTATAAACTAGGTGTTAAAATATGCTCTAAAGAGAAAATAAGGTACCAGGGAAGTTCAAGGAAAATGAAATGATGGATTTCATCTGTGAGGGAGAATCTGATCATCTTGATTGCATCTCTTCAGCTGAATTGTTGATTGAGGGTGCCATCCCTCCTGACCCAAGCAGAGCCACAAGGGACTGGTATCCTAGACACTCAGGGTGAGAGAATGTGAGAAGAAAGTTTTCCATGACATAATACACAAATATCTTATTTGGATGAATGGGGAGGAAGCTGGACCTCACTGTAGGGTAGAATGGGGTGCAGGAGGTCAGACAGAGGATAGGAAGGGAGAGGGAAATTTGATAAGTGTAAGGCTGTACTAGTAATTTTTTGTTTGTTTGTTTGGATTTTTTTTTTTGGTACCTGGGATCTAACTCGGGTCCTTGTGCTTGCACAGCAGGCGGTGAAACCACTGAGCTAAATCCCTGG